AATCGAACTTCCTTATTGTTTAGTAGAAATGTGTTTGTTTAGCTAACTGATTAAAAATTTTGTCTTTAATCCCGTTACATTTTAGACTGTGTGGTGATTAGGTAGTTGACTGTTTTATATCCGTGACGCCACTAGTGTATCAGAACCTTCAACCGTTGCATCTGAAGTATTGTTGTTGTTATGTGGGCATCGACTGTTGAGCCCCCAGCCTTACTGTTTACTTGAAATTCTGGAACAACTGCAGTTTCTCGATTCTGTGGCTTACACTTGCAAAAATCCCTGCGACTGAAAGTGAAAACACGAAAGACTGATACAACGATGATGTATTGAGAAGCTGAAAACACGTCTCCAAACAAATTGCAACATCACATCATCATTAGACCAAAATACAATCATTTATATACCGAATTTCACACATACTTTACAATAACACATAGGAGGAGTACATAGATTTAGTTGTAAAGACACACTCTCAATACAGTTCACCTGAATGGATACAAGGAATACAACTGCCACACTGAACAACAGTTCGCAGATCTCATGTTAAACGGAATTTATATTGAGTCGATACAAAAAATATCGACGTAAATAATGTCAGCTTTTTTATCCCGTTATATCAGGTTGTAATTTTAGTATCAAATAAACTAATATTTTTTAGAAGAAATTAGAAATTCTGAATTGGAATAACAGTTGTGATAGTGAATTACGATAAATACCAGAGTTACTCTTCAAAGATAACAGATTCAATTGCAGCTTCTAAAGACCAGTATTTGAAATACAACATGAAATATTCTGTGTTTCATAGGCTAAATCAATTGTCCAACAGTGAATACCCAAAACTATCACCTAGAACTCCAGACAAAACTTCAAAGTACTAAAAACAAGTATAAAATTAGTAAGTTAATTATCCAGTAATCGCTACTTTTTCTTGTAAATATGGAATAGCTTATTCCATATTGGCGTAAACAGTGACAAAGAGGGAATTACAACACAAAGGACTAAAAGTGGAGTAAGTTAGGGATAACTTATCTCCACAAATATTGATTTAATAACATACATACACGATCAAATTTGATCAAATTCACAATACCAAAAGAACAATGTCAGTAATAAATATATGTACAAAGAGACATATAATCAACATTTAATAGTTGAACCTGCCTCTGAATATGATGAACAAATAAAATTAATTTGCGACCTGATGCTAAGCTTAATATATAGTAGTCATCGAAAGAGTTAATACGCTGAATATTTCATGAATGTTGACTGTTGAATGTAAACATATACCGTGAAGTAACTATTACGTTTCATTCAAGTACAACAGTACTGAACCATACTGATCTAAATATACAGTTTACTTACTAGCCTCCTCAGTAAAAAGAGAACTCAGTCTCTATAGAGTATTGTTTGATTACCATGATCAGGTAAAGTAGTAACGATAGACAATTGAATTCTATTAGCAACCAGAACCAGCTAACAGAAAATTATAATTGTAGCAAATAACCCTAGGTCTTAAACTGGAGGTATAACGAATCAATAAAGCCTACTGGTAACCACATTCCCACTACTTTCATCAGCCAGAAGCAATAAAGCTTCGAATTCGTAGATTTCATTTTGTATTATGATGAAAATGTATATTATAGCAGGTTTTTGAGATAATACAAAAGAGCCACCACTATTTACTAGTCCTTAAACGCTTTATAAATGGTTTTATTCTCAGATGAGATTCGGTTTTAAATCAATTCACCGATTAACACACAACATATCACTTATGTGAACATTAAGGAGAGCTGTCATCGAAGTCTAGTCATAAAGAAAGTGCCCTCCCACACACACAAACACAAGGAATTGTACTAATCCTGTCAAGAGAAGAATAGAATGAACAAATCTAGGATGGGAGACTCAGAGTTTCGAGACCATCAAAGCACCTTCCAAAACAAAGAAGGGAAGGATTACGACGAATGTGATCCTGTGCTATGTACCCACCAATTATAGCAGTGAACATGATAAACACCATTTTCATGAGAGGCTGCAGTCCATCGTAGGGAAAGAATCAGGGAAACACCTGACCATCCTGATGAGGGACCCAAATACCAAGGTCGGAGTGAACAACACCAGATACGAACGCATTATGAAACGAAATGGACTAGGAGGAAGGAACGAATATGACAAGAGACCGATAGATCTGCATGCCTTCAGCATAGTCATAGGCGGTGTCATTTTCCACCACAGATGTGTACCTGAAGCTAACACGGTCTCACTGGACCACACCACGAAAAACCAGATCGATCACATTTGTCTCAATAAAAGATCCGCGAGGTCCACGGAAGAAATAAGAACAAAGAGAGCTGATATAGATTCAGATCACCAGATGGTGGTACCGAACCGAAAGAAGCGTTGTGCAGTTACATAAGGAATACTACAAATGTCTAGTATAGCCTTCCTTTGAGACGAAAAAAAGTTCAGAGATCAGCATAGCAATTGTCAGCAACAAGCGCCAAGCCTTTCAAGACCTACTAAAAGAAACGGAAACCACCATAAGCAACGACTGCAAAGTGATTCGAGAGGTAATAATTTCAACATCTCAGGTGTTGACCCACAAGAAGCATCAGTATGAAGAGTAGATTTCCGTAGACAGTCTGAGCAGGATACGCCAAAGGAGAAACAAAACAGCAATCAACAATAGCTAAACAAAAGCAGAATAAACCAGGGCACAGGCCGAGTACACAGAAGCAAACAAACTAGTGAAAGAGCATTAGAGCTGATTAGCGGAAGCATGTAGAAGGTCTGGAAACCATAGCAGAGAAAGCTACAAGATAGGGAAATATGAGAGAACTATGTGATACCACAACCAAGCAGCTTGCACAAAAGCATAGTAGACCAGAGCGACCAGTCAAAAACAAAGAAGGCAAACCAATCACTGAGGGTCAACGGCAGTCGGACAGGTGGGCAGAGCACTTTGAAGATCTCCTGAAGAGACCAGCACCGCTGGGCACAGTCAACATCGAGGCAGCACACAAATATCTCCTATAAACGGTACCCCACCAACAATCAAAGGAATTAGCAAAGCCACTAGACAATTCAGGAATGCCATAGCAATAGTTGGACTAGACAGTACACCAGCTGAGGCGCTTCAATCAGATATGGAGGCAGCTGCAAACATGTCCCACATTCTCTTCAGAAAGATTTGGGATGAAGAACAAGTGCTAACAGACTGGAGAGGGATACTTCATCAACGTACCAAAGGAGAACTACGGACGGAACACGCTACTGTCCGTACCAGTCGAAGTTTTCAACAGGATGTTAGTAAAGCAAACGAAGGACTCAGTAAATTCCAAACTTAGAGATCTCTATAAGGATCGATGGTATACCGACCAAATCGCAAAAACGCGGACTACTGTCCAGCAATCAATTAAATGGAACTCATCTCTATACATCAACTTCCGTGGTTAGGAGAAGCCATCTGACAGTATGGATAATAGAAACTTGTAAATTCTCCTTCGACATTAAGGAGTACCTAGGAAAACCTTCATCATTACATGGAACCCCAACACCGAACTGAACTGCAAAGTCGTGCATGGTGACCAGATTACAGATCAACTACAGATAAAAACTAGTATTAGACAAAGCTTTCGAATTACGTATTTTCTCTTTCTTCTGATTGTTCACTGGATTATGAAGACCACATCGCAAGAAAAACACGAAATCCAGCAGACACATTGGACGCAGCTGAGTGACTGATCTTGTAAATGACTTAATCCTTCAACGGCAAACACAGCAACAAATGCAAAGACAGACATCGTACCAGCAGCTTTCGCAGTAGCATGCCCCAACACAGAGGAAACAACAAGCTTCTGAAGCACGACACATTGAGAACCAGTCAAATCACACTTACTGGCAAAGCTTTCGAAGAAGCGGGAGCCTTAACCTACTTGGGCAGCATCGTCGACAAACTAGGAGGATCTGATGCAGATGCAAACGTACCAGTCTGTACTGCAAAGGCAGCACTCCTGTAACTGAAGAATATCTGGAACTCAAAACAACCGTCACCCACTACCAAAGTAAGAATCTTCAACACTAACGTTAAAACAATTCTATTGCATGGAGCCGAAACTTGGACAATTGTCATCACCATCACCAAAAGAGCAAAGGTATCCGTAAACAACCGTCTGTGTGAGATACCCCAAATCCATCGGCCAGAGACCATCAGCAATAACTCACTCTACCAGTGAACAAACCAGCTCCCGGTTAGAGAGGAAATTAGAAGACGCTAGTAATGGATAGGACACTGCAGAAATAATTAAACTGTATCAAAAAGCAAGTCCCAACATGGAATCCTCAAGAAAAAAGGGAAACGGGACGTACTGAGGGACATATGGTGCCGGAAATCGGAAGCGGAAATCAAGATCAGGAATAACACTCAGCAACGACTGAAAAGCAGAGCCTCAGACAGGATGGCTGAAGATCGTTGCTCGGTGGTCTATCCCTCAATAGGGGTAACAGGCTTGATTAAGTGATAAAGAGAATGGCTGTGCATTGAGGACATGATTTTGAAAGGCAGACTAGATAGGTATGTGTGAAGCAATGCTGGAATTCGGGATCGAGACGGAGGCAAGGAGAAAATATATCTGCTCCACTGTGAATGATTTTTAGCCATGTCACCCACTTCCAATAACTACCACTTATTCAACTATTATCAGTTGTGGTTTTTATTAAAAATTCCCTGTTGTTATTATTGTATCTCGACATATGTTACACATGTAGATTTAACGTCGGATCAATTGACTTGTTTTATCAAATCAACGAAAACAATCGATAATTTTTCATTTAGAAAATAACTAATTATTCTGAAAAATTAAAATTGTCAACCGAATTCAAACCTTGCTTATCATCACCTATGCATAGGCATTTGAACATTATCTTTAATGTTAACGATTTCAAATAACTCCTAGCAAATAAAACTTAGACCAATCCTTCAATAGAGATAGGGTCTCACTTACTGAAATACGTTTACTTCTTGCCCATGATCTTCCGGACGACTTTTTGCTCGTTTGATCCACACTTACATATGTCACCTGCTCATTAATTCTACTCTCTATTGACTTTGAAACTTGGTAATCGTTTGACTGAAACGATTTGTAAGAAAGTTTCTGGTTATCATGATGTTCAATTTGATGTGATTGAATCATGTGAAACTGATTAGAAAATCCGTCGATGTTTAATTGCATTACACTCACTCAGTCCACATCAAATGGATTGTCATCTCAACAATCTAAATAAATGAACAGGAAAAATCCAGAAATCAGTATACACTTTTAAAATTCTAGGAACAGTAACTATAAATACCAGATTGATATAAAATTCGACAACTAACCTGAGATCATCAATCAATTGATTACCTAGATGAGAGGAACAGTTTGAGTAACAATGATTAAATAGTTATAACTTTGTGACTTCTTTAATATAGTCCCACCGACAAATGTAATGGAGGATATGTATTTCCCGAAATATAGTTAATGTTATTTGACAGATGTCGACTAAGCCTTAGTTATCCTAGTATATCAGAAACAACGTAGCTAGTTGGCTTGAATGACTATGTTACTTTTGTTCAAACAAGTATAAGCACGAAACAATTGTAAGACAAGATTCGACTCTCATTATGTGTAAAACATATGAATAATATTTATTCCATTCAGTGAGTTTTAAAAATTATCACAGCACCATTAGTGCTGAAATTTATTTTGTCTAATTATTCAGAGCTAAATACAGTATCTCGGGGGAAAAAATTAGTCTCATGGAAGTCGAAAGTAATATAATCGTCTCCATAACAAATTTTACAAAATCCACCAGTAATGGAAGTCATGGGAGTAAATAAAAAATACCACTTGGTAGTGATACTAAGTTACACACTGATACAAGCACATGCAATACATTGCAACTATCAAGTGTAAACCTAAAGGTCGTGACAAAAAAGCTGCTAGTTTTGGTCGGTAGGTCTGCGTCCGCTACATAGTTGCAGAACGCGTAGTCATAAATGTCATCGACAGTTAGTAACTTTTCGTATTTTAGTAAAGAACAGTGATAGGTAAAGTAAAAATACTGCCAAACCTTTGGTAATTTTTGTTATTTTCTGCTAGTTGTTAGAGTGGATTTGCAATGTGTTACATTTAAGTTGTATGTGTCACCTCATGTGAAACACTATAATTCACCATTTGAATAACAATGTTACGATGTCCGATACTAGCGAGACGATCAACTTGTAAACACCGCAATACCACCTTGAGCGAAAATAGACCAATCTCTGGATTACCGAAACAGTTGATGGTTGAAACGTAACTGGTATGAAACTAAGGGAATCAACTAAATAAACACTCCCTACCCTGAAATTTTAGCAAAATATCCTTTAGATTTAACACGTGTCATCACTCGGACTGAACATATACAGATTTACTCATGTAAAATCGCAATAATTGAAGTTGCTGTTATTTTCTTTGTCAATGACGTCAGGAATTATAGTGGTTTAAATCAAAAATTCATAATTCGTGGTTATAAGCCAACCGGTCTACAACTGTCTAATGAACACACTCATTGAATATGTAAGATATGTACTATCTCAATTGATATTGCGTCTAGAGTTTCTGGTCCGAGCTATCATCCGACGTTTTGAGATCACTTATGGATACAGAAGGCTCGACTAGCTTTTGCCAACTTGCGTCATTTATGGCGTAGGCGAGATATCCGTCTACTTACCAAAGGACGGGTGAAACATTACCGGTAAGAGGAAAGGATATTTGTAGGTTACTAGTATTCGATCATGGGTGTTTTCGAAGCATTGCTCGTATATCCTGGGACCACCGAGTAAGTAATGCATTTGTTAGGAAACGGGTACTAGGTAAGGATGGAAAATCAACTGATGAAGTAGTGAAACTTCATAAGTTGAGATAGCTGGGACATGTGTTGCGTAAACCCAACCACCGACTGCCCCGAAGTGCGATGTCTTATGGTGTAAGAGTAGGTTAGAAGAAAGCTAGGGGCGGCCAGACCAAAACATGGCACAAATCTATGAAGTCACTGACAAGTGAACTGAACCATATTGGTAGATGTAGACCACCTACCCCAAATGCCCTGGTACGGCCGAGAATGGGGGGAGTCCGCTCTCCCTCTCGAAATGCTCTCACATGGCCATGCGTATATAGCCTCTGCCAGGGAAGTCCTTCTCACTGCCCTCTCGTGGTGGGGGTGTTGTTTACGAAAATGAGAGGACGAAAAGCGAATGTCTGGCGCTTTAACCGGACCCCAAACCAATGGTGCACATGGGCTCCAGTATCCTGAAGGGACAAATGGAGTATGAACCAATCGTTGGTCACCGGCTACCATGGGACTGCATCTCCTCACGATGCTCCACTGCCTTGTGGATCAGATCTTCAGGTCAAAGGCTCGGGGTGTGGCCCCTAAGAAAACCACCTGCTTCGGTTTGGGCACCCGGGCAGTATCACAGCCCTCACACAAACCAATTTAGTTTTGTGTGGCGCATAAGTATTTGGTGCCTCCCTGTACCTATACTTATGTGTTAAAATAAATAAATAAATAAACTACCTAGTTGGGATCCGCACGACGATAGCAACCGATGGTTAGATCTTGAACAGCACGGCTCAAAATCGTTTGCAATGGCGCAGGTGCATTCACCCTTTGTGTTCTCCCAAATTATAATTTTCTGAAATCTTCATGTCCCTTTTTTTCTCTTTCCAAATTTCTTTCACTGGATTATATTCCTTGAATAACATCTTCAAACTCTAATCTTTCCGATTACTGCCTATACTCTTACTACCTCTACCACTATGGGATTTGAGTCGACAATTGTAGCTAACTGCTATTGTGGTATGGCGACCTAAACTGATGTGCGTACGTATGTAAATTGTTGCTGACTAACAAACTTGAGATCACTTTATCTGGAGCTTTAAGAATCTATCATTTTTCGTATGACTCATCACTTTTAAGACAACTTTTTATAGCAGGCTTTCTTTGTATCCATTAAATGTTTATTTTTTTCAACCAATTAGACTAACTCAGAATTTACCACAGGTTACTACACCATTTCAGGAAAATTTCGCATGACCGTGAAACTTCATAATTGACTAGGAATGCACCACTACTAAACGGATTAGAGGGTTGATGATCAAAAATAGCTACAAAACAGAATGCTCATATTCAGCAGAATATTAGGAGTTTTGACTAAACACGAAACACTAATACAATGAACAATTAGGTATACTACAAAATAAAATACATTTATAATCATTGTAGAATACGTAATATATAACTCGCAACAATTTAATTAGGGAATGAGTGAAGCGAGTGTTATAAAGCTGAATAACTTTAGTGACCAATAAATCTGACCGAGGTCTCACCCTGTAAATTGTAATACAAAAGTGCAGAATAACTAGCTTTTAGAGTAAAATTAAGTAAAAGAAATTAGTAAATAGTGACCGGCTGCATATAAACATTGCTGCAAACAAGCTTCAGCCTGATCAAGTACAGAATGCTGCTTAGCTGAAGCGATTCTCATAAATAAAGTCCTAGAACTTCCCAATATGGTAAAGGAGTTGAGTCTGAAACTAGACAGTGAGAAGACCGCAAGCGTAACCACCAGTGCTATCGGTTAAGCTCCTAACACAGATAGAAAGGTTGAGACACGCATGATCAATGCACATGAAGAAGAAACCTCAGTCCAGAATATCGTTGTGAGTAGTTGTCTATCATTGTCAGGACAAACAAATCACCACCCACCAAAAGTGCACTGACTCTAAACATTATTGATGGAGTGAACGCGACTGGACGATGTGCAAAGAGCTCAACTCTCTCAACAATCAAACTAGGTAAAATAAATTAGTCCAAACTTCAAAACAAAAGAGACAATTAAAGGAGAGGTCCCGGTAGTTAGTGGGAAGGGAACAGTAATGGCACGATCGAAAGTCGTAAACACGATTATTAGAGAAGTTAAATCCATCCCTAGTTTAATTATTTGGAATCGGTAGTCAAAATAGCAATCGGCCTGATAAACGTCATTGACAAGATCTGCCGTCTGTGGAATCTGCTGTCAGAAATTAAAAGCCAGAAGAAGCATTGAGAATACATGTTAATAAGATGATAAAGCTCGGTGTTGAAGATGAAACCCACTTACATTTATTACTTGAAAGTAACGTTAGAAAGAACGTTATGTTAAACAAGGCACATGAAATTCGTGTCTCGAATATTCATATGCAACCAGTGTTTACTTGAGGATGGAATGTATGCTCGGGTTGAGTTAATTACCCGAACCTTAGGATTCAGGGTCTTTGAAGTCAATGATTTCTAGACCTATATGGGTAAAACAAGTAACCAAGAAACCACCGTATGTGCTGTACAAACGTTTACAGCCTTCGGGAAAATCAGGAATATATAAGAAACTACTATAACTAGTTCTTGCAATATTTATAAGATAGTCGGCACATCATACCCGTACATGCCCAAAACAATATCTCGTAAATTAATCGAAGTAAAAAGCGGAGTGATTGCACCGCTATAATTTTTATTTATTTTATTCGTAAGCAAAAGGATTTCCTTGCACTCGTACGAATAAAGCAAATAAGAATTATAGCGGTATATTCACTTCGTCCTTTTACGATTCTTAAGAATCGTTTTCGGTTGTAATGACCCACCCCTTTGAATATTGCCATTATTTTATTCACTTACTTCTATGCTCTCGTTATTTCAAATTATCCCAACCTCTTTTTCTGTTTCTTCACAACCTTATTTTCTTAAGAAAATAATTATTGTGTGGCGCATGTATATTTTGGTGCCTCTTTGACTGAAATATCATATATATGTAATTTATAGGTCAGTTCTAAACCAAAGATAATTTTACAAACTATAGGAGTGACAATAACTTAAAGGTTTATAAAAACCACAACCTCGACGCAGTAGGTCAAGACTAGGCGTCCATAAAGCACATCAAGGTCGTTTGCTAAATATCTAATATCTTCGAGAGACCTTATACAAACTATTTGATGATCCATGTGTTAGTACGTAATTATAAGGTCTCTTGTTAAGGCTATTCATTGAGTGAATTGTGGTTACTTCAGGTGTGAGATTATTTTAAATAGTGTCTGCTCTTTGTGAGAAAAAGTGTAGACATATGAATTTTCACTCATTAATGTACATGTTTTCGGGAATTCCCTCATGGAGTACGGTAATGAGTTTCTGGTAGGATATTCGTGTGGAGATAACTTGGAGTGTCTGGTATATTATGAGCTACTATGGGATCATTTCTAATTCTCCTTTAACTCAGTGAGAACAATCTTGCATTGAAGTCTATCTTACTGTGATCTTTTTTCTCGGTCCTATTACCATTCTTGCCTGTTTCTATACTTTTCTAAGAGCTTTGTGCTGTTTTTGAAAACAGAGGGTTCAACAACGTTTTGAATTTCGAGATCGGGCCTTAAGTACTTTTTTGAAGTGTTAAATGCAATTCTGGAGTGATTGCACTAAGTTGTCTTCGTATAAAGTGAAGAGTTGATTCTGCTAGAGTTGCACCTGCAATGTATTATAAGCTCTGTGTGATTACTAATCCTAGATTTCTTCCTAAGCCGACGATTTATGGTAGATAGTCATAGAAGACGCAAGTCGTCTGTGTCCTATGGGACTGAATGCGCATAATGTGGCATTTTGACAAGCTAACTTTCAACACATTGTCAACCTTCCGTTCCCTATTTTTATGTGGTCTTTGTACAGCCAGAGTTAATTCTTTCCACCTCTTATGAGCCTACATATCTTACCATTTTCGGAGTATACGAGGGTCAGTTATTGATAAGTCTTGTGATTTTGAACGCTATGCTTGGTTCCTAAGCTATTCTTGAAACCCCCAAGCTAGAACTATACAGCGACCTGAACACAAGAGAGAAGGCACAAAGTATGTGAAAAGTACTTTACTCCAAGGTTTGTTTTAATACAGAAAACATAGGGTTTTTATAATATTCTAGATGTCTTTGGGTTGCTCGAAGATTCTGGAATGCTACTAAACATAATAGCGGTATAACAATCAGCCAATCAGAACCTCTACATGTGACGTTTCACATCCTTGATGTTTTCTGGCCAAAATCCAAATAAACGCTGATTAGATGAAATGCTTCTTAATGTTTCCTGATCCTTGCGCGTCTTTTGCTAGAATTTTTCTGGATCATCCCAACAGTTATCACATTTCGTCTGGGAAGTAATTTTGGAACAAGAATAGAAATGTGTCGGGAACTTTTCTATGAGGAATGGGTTCCTTACTATGCCAAAAGCTCTTGAGAAATCAAAGGATGTTACACGAACTGGCATCTTTGTCACGGCAGATTTCGTCTGATGTCAGGATAGTGTTGATCGTGCACGATCTTTGCAAACCACTGTTGGGCTTCATGAGGGATGTTGTTTCCGTCTAAATTTTCCCTCATTTGGTCATTGACCAGTCCTCCCATCGCATTCGTCAATGTTGGAAGTAATGTTACTGGCCTACAACGAATTCGATCTTTCCTGTCTGTTTATTGCATATTTTTATTCTTTTAGAAGTTTCAGTGATTCTAGTGAGTGCCTGAACCGTTCACATCTCGGGGGTACAGAGGGCTAATATAAAACATTTTATATTCTTAGTATTTAACCGGTTGGACATTTCCTAGAACCTAATCTGACACTAAAGCTGAGGAATTTTTTGAGCTTGTATGTTCCTGGTTTAAGTGATCGGTGAAGTTGGAATTAAAGACTTCTGCCACTTGTATGTTAGCAATACCTTTACTGTTGGGCCCTTTTAGGGCACAGATCCCTTGATTTGTATGCTTCCGTTTGGTCAAGAACCTATAGAGAAATATTTTGGGTTGACTTAGATTTGGCTGGTACTTTCATCTGGAAGTGTTTGCTGTCACCTAATGCCAAGAAAGAGATGTGGTCAGAATCTTTTGGAGCAAATATCACTTGTCCTAAGTTTGCCAATTTGCCTGTAACATGTGTTATGTTCCTTAATTAAGTCAGAATGCTTGGCTTGAGTTGAGTCTTACTGGGTAGCTTCCTGAATTGTGTCACTAGCTGTCTCCCTAGTGGTCGTCCATTATTGGCCTCCACAACTCATGTGTTTATGGGGCACATTAAAAATACACTCTGATAGCTATGTTTTCTGCGCTTGTGTAGCAAAGTTAGGAGCATTCCCGTCCCTTTTAAGTACCTTGTTTTTGACTACCTCAAATGCGAATATACCATGATTACTATTCTCTATTGTCACTTAAACATAGATATCTTCAACTAGAAGATGATCGCTTGTTGGTGAATAATCTAATTTCAAACGTTTTTCGTCCTTATTCTTTGGCATGGCGTCGCCCACAGTCCCTAGCTTTTAATCGCTGTGACCATTCGCCTATAAAAGCACATTTAAGAGTACATTTTTCTTGCCGGGGTCTAGAGATGAAGTGTCAGGGTCCCCGTCTGTGGGTACCTTATAAAACCATGGTTATGGTATAAATGGTATCAGACGGAGTAGCTCTTCCTTTCACATGCTTACATCTTTAGGAGGACGATATGTTCTTCAACTCCGTTGCTTGGATCCGCTTGCTTTGAAACAATATCGGCAAGATTCTTACGACCCGACCAATACGATTGTTAACAGCATTGTGATTTTGAAGCAGATTTTGATGAATATCTCCACTTCACCTCTTGTTTGCTTGTCAAATCTGAATAATAACATTATATTTCTGCCACGGCAGGTTCATTGCTTTACACGCTCATTTCATCGTCCATGATATCAGCAGAGAGACAGCTTTTGGTCAGAACCATGACCTTTGTATCGGGTTCGAAAAATGGTTCTGATATCTCCTCTTTCGCTTCCAAGTCTTTTTACACTAATGCAGAGATGCTTGGTTGTTAAGCTTTTTATACAATGATCTTCTATAGAACCTTCTGTGTTGTGGAGTCGTAAATATTCCTAGGTTCAAAACGAGTTGGTCAATTCGACATTACAGTTCCTACTTTTTTACTGGACCTTTGGCCCCGGGCTGTCTATGAGTGTGTTACATTGTGTCATAGTTGATAACTTTGGAAGTTTAGACACACCCTATTCAATCAAGTGGTTAGCTATAGTCCCGGTATCATTAGTCGTTATCGTTGGCCTGAAGAAAGTGAAGGAACTCGATTGAGGAGTATGGAAAACTTTTACCATACTAATAAACATTGCAGTAGTATAGTGTTTATATGAGAAACCATCATATGACTTCGTGTTTTTTCTACTGAATCGGGTCGAATGTCTCTATACCAGGCTTTGCAAATGGACGTGGATAAATGACTGATGGTATAGTGAGTTAAGTGAAGTTAGTAATTTAAGTGCTCACTTATCTGATGCTTTACGTGACATGTCTAATGGGAATTCAAGGTTCAGGGCAATTGTTCATGAACATGACTTAATCTTACTTCTTGAATACATTACTAAAACCATAAATACTAATTGAATGGTTTGTCTCAGTCCAATTAAAATATTAGAAACGCCTTTTGGTCATGCCAAACTATCAAATCAAATGCTCACGTTCTTGGCCAAGCTGGGCACCAATTCAGATGCCGAAGCTATCAAATGCACTGAGTTTGTGTCACTAACTGAGTTATGCAGACTCTAAAGAAAGACTTGTAGAACCGCATACGATTGTGAGAAACGTATGAGCTGGTGAAAGTGATTAGGTGCCAAATCGGAGATTATATCAGTATTCTGACTAGATTCTTGGACAGTTTGTTTTTGTTTAGAAGCTTTATGCATCTCAGAACTTGAGCCAAGATATAATACTTCATATCAAAACATAATCTACTAAAAACCAAATTATTTTATTCGAAAACAACTACAATCATGGTAAAATATCAATGAACAAACTTATGTTGGTGGTGCAGAAGGGTTCAATCTACTTATAGACTTTTTTTCATACTGAACAAGAACACGTCTTGTGGTTATAAGTTGGCCGAAAACATCTTGATAATGTCAAAACATTATGGATCAAGTATTTATAAACTTTTCTTATTTCGCGTGGGCATTATATTTCTTATTATACTGTACTGAGTTTTGAAAGTTTCGTTTGTTCGATATTATAACATCGCGCTCGAATCGGTCTGTGCCAAGATTCCAATAAAGATTTACTGCAATTACTAGTTTGGCTTCTACAACATTGAAAACGAGAGAAAGCTACCAGCACTAGAAGCGTGTCTATTTTAGCGTACTATCGTTGGCGAAAGATTTTACCCAATTCGCAAGAGACATAATCCAATTATTTGTTGAAAGCATCTGCAATTTGAGAATCAAATTGGAGTCGGAATGTGTAAACACAAATGATTGGTGCAGCTCATGCTCTGTTTTTTAAATAATTTCATCAGTCCCAGTAATCGGTTGAAAACGTTTTGACTATTTTTAAGGCTACCTGTTAAGGAATCTATATACTGTGCGCAGATAGGTATAGATCAAATTTATGATGTGTTAGAGAATTCGGTATAGGATATTTTTCTCTGAGATACACTTATTTTTAATTGAAGCAATACAATCTAAGTTTTTTACGATAAACTTTGAACGTTTTGTTCCTAAAACGTATTTAACTTCGGGTTATTTCATTCAACTGACTCATAGTCGTTCTAACACACTGTTCACATGATGTTTGTGTCACTTTAGATCACAACTGCCGACTAACAGCTGATCAATGTATCCCTGTGGGAAAAGCAAATGTCTTAGTGAATTATCAATATACCAACGAAATAAAGTGACGGTGAATATTTGTAGCTCGGGATGAAGATGTTGGTGTTGTGATCTCTGAGC